ATGTATGTATGTATGTATATGTACATGTACATATATATATATATATATATTTTTTTTTTTATCTAGATTTATTTTATTTTATTTATTGACCTCAGCTGTTTAATGTGTGTATGTGTATTTAATACACACCATTTAAAATGCGCCGTTAAAACTGAACCCCATTCATTTCTAACATTGGGATCCTTCTAAAGAATATTCAGAGAAGGTTTCAGTATGTTTTCATAATACATACAAATCTCTTAATGCAAAAATCTAAGAACATTTCATTTCCTTTAAATAAATAAAAAATAAGACCTTTTCAGATTAACACCACTTGTCTGGAGAGATTGTTCTGACAGATATGAGCGTGATTCAGTAGTCTTGAAAAGACTCCCAAGTAATGAAAAATCTTTAGCAGAATCCTTATATTGATCTCTGAATCAGTAACTCAGTAAGTCTGTAACTCAGTCCAGCAAACCCTCCTGCCCACATTTTTCCTGCATGAAATCGATTCATTGCTGGTTTTGCATTCAGTCTGTGTTTAGAACAGCATCAACTCATTACCGGTCTGAGAGCCAACACAGCACAGCTATGGCTGTAAATGTCACTGCGTACACAGACACGGGTTCTGCCGGCATGGAGGCCGGACCGCCGTCTTCTGACCACCAATGACCTGTGCCACTGACGCTTCTGCCTCTTAAGCTGCATTAGATATACAACATGGCATTTTCGCCTCGTCGCCGTTTGAATGTGAGGACATTAGTCAATAAATGTCAGCGGTTCTCAATAGATCTGTGACTCATCGCTAATTTGAAGTTAATAACTATCTCTGGCATAAGAGAAGCACTCAGAGGATTTTATTCTATGGTAAAACAGGACGAAAAACAAGAAAAAAAATGCAAGAGTAAACACTGTGAATTGCAAAAAGTTTATAAAATAGGTGATTATGATTATAAATTGGATGAGCGACAAACAGGAAGATGGCACATTGTAAACATCCTACATTTAGAATAATACACAATTACCTGGAATAATTATTTGGAATGAACTTTCTTTCTCTCTAACAAAACAAAACAAAACAAAAAAACAAAACAAACAAAAACAAAACAACAAAGCAACAAAACAAAACAAAACAAAACATAAATATTGACTAATAAAAAATTATAATTTTGAAAAAACAAATAACGAATAATTATTTTGTAAATATTACAACCAATAATTACAATTAGATAACAAACAAACAAACAAACACAAATAAATAGTAAAAAATCCTTGCTGAAATGTGATGTAATTGAAGTGGCTAAACTAAAAGTAGAAATGCAATCCATGTTTTTGTTTAAAAAATAAACTTCATCCATTAATTTCTAACATTGGGATTCTTCAAAAGGTTATACAAAGCAACAGGACAATAAGAATCATCAATATTAATATGACAAAATGTTAGAAAAAGTGTAAAACATTAAAAAAAAAATTGTAATTATCAATAAATGATATTCTTTAAAAAAATTAATAAAATTCCTCTAAATCTGATGAAGAAACAAACTCATCTACATCTTGGATGGCCTGAGGGTAAATTCAGCACATTTTCATTTTGACTGAACTGTTCCTTTAAACTCACAAATAAAAACACATATTGCGTGAGGAAAAGCATTGTGACACTCACATCTCCATGGAAACTGTAGCTGCCCCTGAGAATGGCCCTGAAGAGACGCGGTCGGCTGCTCTGGTCGAAGGGCAGCGAGCCGCTCAGCAGGATATAAGTGATGACTCCCAGCGCCCACATATCCACAGCGCTGCTACAGGGTCTCCGCGCCAGCATCTCAGGGGCCAGGTACTCCGGCGTGCCGCAGAGTGTCCTCACAGCCCAATCTTTAGCCTGACAGCTCTTCTCAACATCTACAGAGTCAAAATGTGCATCCTGAGTCATAACAGCTGTATCTTCTCTGCTTTGATATGAAACCGTCGTCTTGTTCTCCCAGCAAGCGAGTCCAAAGTCTGTTATGATCAATCGCGAGTCCTGTCCCGGATGGTAGTACAGCAGGTTTTCGGGTTTGAGGTCCCTGTGGATGATGCCCAGCGTGTGTAGATAGCGCAGCCCGCTGGACACCATCATCAAGGCCTTGGTGGCGTCCCGTTCTCTGAAGGTTCCTCGGGCGACCACGCGCTCCAGGAGCTCTCCTCCCGTGGCCAGCTCCAGAACCAGATAGACGCGATGCTGCGTCTCGAACACCTCAGCCAGGCTGATGACGTTGCTGTGGTTCACCCGTCGCAGGACCCTGAGCTCTGCTTGACAGGCTTCGTGACCCTCACGACCTTTGACCTCCAGAAGTTTTATGGCGAAGGGTTGGCGTGTGCGTCTGTGCTCAGCACGAACCACGCGGCTGAAGCTGCCGCAGCCGATCAGAGCCTTGATGTCATACCTAAAACAAGATATGAACACCTGTGAGATACCATTACTGTTTTTAGTCATTAAGAATTCATTTTTTTATTTTGCATTTTAAATTTTAATTTGAGACAATTTTAATAATTTGGTTGGGAGTTTTTGTCATTTTTACGTTTTATATAATAGTTTATAATATTTTTTATTATTTTTTATTTTTATATCTTACAATTTCTTTTTAATTTTAGTTATTTTTAAAATAATTTTGTTGTGCATTTTTGTCATTTTATTAGTTTTTTGGTAACACTATTTTAAGGTGTCCTTGTTACACGTTACACGTACTCATATAGTAAGTACATGTAGTTAATTAATATTACTCAGTACTTAAATGTATAATTACACTGTAACAAGGACACCTTAAAATAGAGTGTAACCATTTTTTTATTTATTTAAATATGTTGATATAGTTTTTATTATTTTTTATTTTAGTTTTGGTTTTTTAGTCGATTAAGTTACAAGGTTATTCATAGTATTAGTTTTATTAATATTTTAAATTAGTTTTTATTTTCATATTTTCTGTTTTCATTTTAGGTAAATTTTTAGTAATTGTTTTGTGTGCTTTTTGTAATTTTTATTTATTTATTTAATATGTTTATTATAATTTTTTTTTACATCAACCTAAACTAATACAATTGAGAATGTTGCCTTGGCAGATATCTGACATAAAATAAGTTTAAGGTCTTTTTGTATTTTATTTTATTTATTTTAATTCCAGTTAACGTAACAAATGTTTTATGGTTTACATTTTAGTTGTAGTTAACTATAATAACCATGCATGTTAAACTAAATGAAAATGAGAAATTGTAGTAGCATGATTAAAATAAGGTTTTGATTAAAAAAATTTTTTATACATTTTATTTTTCATTTAAGTTAGTTTATTTCATTTCAAGTAACAAAATAGTTTTTTTTAATGGTTTTATTTTAGTTAACTTTAATATGCACAGAAGCATCTGCTATGAGAGACTATTGTGTTGCTGTAATTGGATGCATCAAATTAAATTACACCACATTATTTCATAAATTAGATTTCATTATTACTTTTAGGCTGGTATTAAATGCTGTGAGTGGCACTGGTGAACTAATAAATATAATAAAGCATTTAATTATAGCAGGGATCTGTAATTGACACGTCATGTTTGATATCTTAATTCTGCCATCCAGTCTAAAATAATAACGTTTATGGCATTGTGAAGAATTCTTCATAAAGGTTATGTTAGGAATGAAATACTAGCTTTGTGCTTACTGCATACTTTTGAGAGGCATAATAATATTTAACATCCATACAGTTTTTACTGTATTTTTAAATCAAATAAATGCAGACTTGGTGAGACTTCTTTCAAAAACATATATATATTTTTAAAGTGTACCGCCTCCAGATGTTTGACTGGTAGTGTATAAAACAAAACTTTGGCTTAACTTGCAAATGCATACAGAAAATTCACATATTGTTCACAATATAGCGTACATTCTCCATACTACTTGTATTATTTTTGCAGTACGGCAGATGCTATTCTGGAAACACAACATAAGTACCTCGCTGTGACGCGTGGATCAAACTTTGCACGAAACTTTGTGTTAGGATTCGTCATCCGCTCCTCCAGATGAACCGATTCTTTGACTCCTTCTGATATTCCTCCTCGGGAAGCCCTTCTGTCACTTCTCCTCCTCCAAAGCCAAGCTTGTTGTTTCTCTTTACACTTTTCCCTGTCAGTCTCTTGTTTCTTGAAGTTCACAACAGAATTGAGAAGGCAAAAATATCCATTTTTAGGGGGCTCAGGTAACACTTTGCCAGAACTACTTCCCATTATAAACACTTTACAGGGTGAGATGCGTGGAAATAATCCATCCAGATGCTGTTAGATGGGCTGACACTTGCCTAAGTGAATAAACCTTCACAGATCCTCCTAATGGACGCATGTCTTTGGGCTGGTTTGAAGAGCAGCTGTTGCGCACCTGCACATGACTGCTGCATTTTCAGCACAAGTGCAACAACTCACACCTGAGTGACGGCTGTTTGATCCACGGCTATTTCAGGGGTCTTTTAACAACACCATCATTGCCCTGTAACAAAACAAAGAAAGCTTGATCACCTATGAATGAATCCATAAATATATATATATATATA